AATCACTGAGGCCCCAACGACGACTCTCATTGGGTGGCGCTCATTTCCAGTAGAGGTTACCCTGCATAGTTGCACACACCCTGGTAACACAGCGGAGTACGCGTCGCACATTAATGACGTGGCGATTAGCGAGCCGAGATAGGCGCGTCGCATTCGCGACTTTCCCACTCAAAGGTGTGTGGCTAATATACCTAAATGCTTGTGGCCTTGTAAATCTTCTAATGGAAGAACATGCTGGCAGACGTCAGCAGTGCATGAGACGGGGTCGGGAGAGGAGACAGATCTAGCAACGCGTTGTGTAGCGGAGGCAGCATGTGCGTCTCGTGCTGAAGTGATGGTTAGCTCTGTAGTGTCCTCTCAGCCGTTGTAGTGTGAAACTATCGCATTTTCACGTATCATGCTACATATGAAGGCTTTGCAGTGCTCAGCAAAATCGTGCCAAGGTGCCAGCTGAAAAATAAAACCACTGTGCTACAGAAAATAACAGGCATTTTTTGAAAATCGTTTGCAGGCTTTGGCAGCTCAGATGGGTCTTTGTGTGGTTCACAAACAGCTGCAGGAGTGATGGAGCGGGCAACCAAGCATTCGAAGAGAGCGCAGAGGGGACAATTGAGTACAATTCAGAGAAGACGCGGGGCTAAAAGTTGCTGCCGAATTATCGTATTTTCTATGAATGTATTAAGCGAAACGTATTAGCACATAGCGCTATTGGAGCATTTCTAGTTTTTGCCATTACGAGCGTAATAGCCGGGAAATCGTATTAAGTGGGAATGTATTAACGAGGTTCTACTACTTAACACTATGTCTATTGCAAGACTATCTTCATTTACTTAGTTATAACCAATATCTTGTTATTTCTGGGTTCGCTATATCAAGATTTGTATGTAGTTGCTCTTCTGTAATAAATGAAGGTTTAAATGCCCGGATCTCAAGTGGACATTCTGACAGGCTTCCGACAGCTGTCATAACGTACTATACTTGTTTTGACAAACCAATATAAACACAGTGGCTGACTGTCATTGTTATCATTACAGTTTCTCAGGTATTTTCATAGTTAGAATAGATGTATGTAGCACTCCAGTTTACATGTTTGTGAGCAACATCAGCATACAAAAAGTGTTTTTTTTTTTAGATAATATAGATTTTTAATAAATATTCTTCAGGAGTCAAGCTCTTGTAGTTTCCGCACATGAACACGACATCGAGGTGGGAATATTTTCTCGCAGCTGAAATGATGTTGACATGACTTATTAACAAAATCTCTGTGTAACTTTTTACCTATTGACTTCAGGGCACATATTTGTGTTACAAAGTTGTTGTACATTCCAATTTAAGCATATTTACTAATTATAAATAACAAGAAGTGTTATGCATTTCAAGATATTCATCAGCGAATTTATCAGAAATCTTGAATGATTGCGTTTGATGTGCACAAAGCATGGCTGTACACCGGTATGGCTTGTGATACAGGTGGCGTAATTCGAATGAGGACACGCCAAGGCAGAATCTGGTCAGAAAAATTGGCAAGCGTTATGCACATTAATATTCTCAATGAATTTTGCAGCAAAGGTGAACGGAGAAATCATTGACACCTGATTAACCGTGCAGTAGTGAGTAAGGATAAAGGCAAATGAAGTTGGTGTAAGTTTTTAGGACAAAAGGAAACATGCCTTTAATCAGTTACACTCCACTTTGATTTTTCAAAGCTGATGTCAATGCTCGATTTGGAGCAGTTTCGTGCTGCTGCAGCAAGGAGGAAAGCAGCAGAGTTTTTGTTTACCTTTTTTTTTGTTTGTTTATTCATATTTCTAGGGAAGCCACCGGGCTACGACAGGGTGCGCAATGCTGAAATCGGCAACAAGGACTTTGAGCTCGATGTTCTAGAAGAAGCGTATACGACGGAGCACTGGTTGGTGCGTATCTACAAGGTGAAGGACCTTCCCAACAGGGGCATCTGAGGAGCAACTCGTCACTTGCTGCTGTATCTCGTGACATACGATCAACGCAGCAGCGGACCACACTGCGGCATAGAGATTGTTCTCCATTCTTTTGCTGGAGATGTCTCACAACGAGCACAAAATCATCCTCACATTTCTGCAAGTAGGCCTGCGACATCCTCGGGTCTCACCCTCTATGTTTATCCTGTGAAAGTGCTTGTGGGATTTTTTTTTCTGGGCTTGTGTTGAATGAGAGAATGGGTGCTGAATGCAAATAAAAACTTTCTACAACATTCTGTCTCGGGAAACTTTACTTTCTTGCGAGGCATTTATGTGCAGTACCTTTTTTACTGATATCACATGAGCAGCCACAAAGTATTCAATCTACGCGGTACCTTCATTTGTCTGTAGAGTTCGAACGAACCCTGCCGCGGTGGCCTAGTGATTAAGGTACCCTGCTGCTGACCCGCAGGTCGCGGGATCGAATCCCGGCTGCGTTTTCAATGGAGGCAAAAAGCTGTAAGCCCGTGTGTTCACATTTGGGTGTACTTTGAAGAACCACAGGTGGTCTAAATTTCCGGAGCCCTCCACTATGGCGTCTCTTATAACTATATGGTAGTTTCGGGACGTTAAACCTCACATATCAATGGCATCTGTTTTGTCAAGCCAGCATCCCAAGGGTGCAGGGAGCACACACACACTGCGGAGCATTTAATCAATGAAAATGAAACTGAGAAGTGGTGGAGATATGACCAGTACGAAATGATATGAAAGGGGGAATAAAGGGTTAGGCAAGACAGAAATAAAAGTAAGGAGAGGAGAGTTGCAAGAAAAAAAGACGAAAGAGAAGTAATTGCTGTTGGATAGAATGAACTGGGAATAAAGCTTTTTTCCCCCACACTATAGGACAGAAAGCATTGGAATTGAAAAAATCTCACCGACAGCCCCTAAAATTCTTGTGCCTCAAATGTGGTCTCCATTCAAAGGCCTCTTGCAAGATCATTTTTATAGACATCTTGCACGCGACGTCGCGCATGCAGCTTCTGAACGTGCCTGCACTTCATGGTGGCAAATTTGATGACATACAAGTTGCAGTTAACATGCTTCAATGTGACAATGTGACTGGAATGCTTCTGTGCAATCTGCATGCGATGTTTAATAACAAAATGTGACAAGGCAAAAGTCCCTTCCATCAATGCTGTTGCTCCAATTGCAACATCAATGCAAGCCATCTATACCCGTACGCTGTATACCTCCGTTCGTTTCTGCTATAAATAAAGGGGGAGAGGAACTGGCATAGAGAAGCAATTTACAGATTTTAATGCACTGTTGAAACATCTAAATATTTTGAACAGCCAGACAAAAATTATGAACAAGAGTACCACATACACCTTGTCTACATTCATTCAAATTTTGTACTGAAACAACACATGCTAGTTGCAAGTCTTCACAGGATACTTTCGGAACAGTCAATCTAGCTTACTGTTTCTTGTTGCTACCTGTTGCTTCACACTAGGTGCCGCTCAGGTGAAGCTGGTTTTTAGGGGCGAAGCTCCTTATGGCGTGACTTGGGCGTCCCTCGTATGTAACCACCAGTGGCACATACCCGAAATAGGTATAACACTTGACCTCCAAGGTGGTGCCAGTGAGAGATTTCTTCTGTGCGTTGGTTAACAATAAAAAATAGTGCTCAATGTACATGCCAATGGCTGCTAATGGGGAATGAGGGACATGAGCATTCGACTTTTAGTCAACGCGCACGCTGCGATCTCCATTAGCAGCCATTGGCATGTACATTGAGCACTATCGAACAAGAAAGGGATGCTACATTATACTCGCTGGGTGTAACCTCCTTAGCTTTAGAAAGGTTTAGCGAGCGTTGAGCCGCAGTGCCATGAATACAATGAACTTGTATATACCATGAATGAACTCAAGGTGGTTAAAAATGAGAAGTAGATACGAAGCGCAAGCCGTAAGAAAGTAAAAGCCGAATTCTCCTGTCTCTCATTTCTCATTAGCAGCCATTGGCATGTAAATTGAGCCCTATCTGACAGGGAAAGGTTGCTACGTTATACTCGCTGGGCGTAACCTCCTTGGTTTTCGAAAGGTTTAGCGAGCGTTTGGTCGCAGTGCCATGAATACAGTGAACTAGAATATACCATGAACTCGAGGTGGTTAAAGGTGGAAAGTGGACCCAAAGCGCAGGCTGTAAGAAAGTGTGCGTGTGCCAACTCTCGTTTAGTCCTTGGAATGTCCGCTGGATGGCGGTGCTTCTATATGGTGAATATATGATAAAAAGATGCGAGATGGTGGGACTTGGAGTGTTGAATAGATGAACGAACGGACACACAAACAGATGCATGGATGGACGCATGAACGGACGCAGGGGCGGATGCATGAGAGAACGCAGGGACGGGTGCACAAACAGACGCATGGACGGTCACACAGACGAACGCATAGACGGACGAATGCTTTGCCCCACTCTCCATCCTTCACTCCGTGGATATGCTGCCATTTTTTTGCCCGCCTCGGTGGATCAGTGTTATGGTGCTTGGTCAGTAAAACCGAAGTTCGGGGGATCTGTCCTGGCCACAGCAGTCGCATCTCAGTGGAGGCAAAATGATGGAGGCTCGCATGCTGTGCAATGTCAGATGGTCGAAGCTTCTGGGCCCTTCACTCCTGCATCTCTCATAATCACAGCGTGGCTTTGGGACGTTAAACCCTAGATATTATTAATGTGGCTTTTTTCTACATGGCTATATCTCATGTGATACGAATATACAGGACTTGTTTCAATCAAATTGACGGCACTCGGTGTTGCAAGAGCAATGAACTTTGTTTTTTCATGGCAACATCATTTCTACCAGTGGTAAAATAACAGTTGAGTCCCTCAATAAGAGACGCACTGAAGAGGTGTTTCTTTTAAACAGGGTACCATGTTCTTTTTCTGATCAACACCTATTTCAATACTGGCACAGTTGTTTCTTATACCCAATGTTACCTCGGACAGTCTATTTTATAGATGAATCTCGTACAAACCTCTGAAGTACAACATGTCGCATCTTTTTTTGAGCAACTTTATTGGGCGGTAAAAGCCACTGCAGCATTGCTGCGGCAGTGGGCAGCCAGCCACATGGAAGCTTAGTCGAAGAGTCCGAAGCCCATATCGTCGTCCTCCTCTTCGGATTCCTCCTTCTTGGCTTCTTCCTTCTTCGACTCCTCCGGCTTGGCTGCAGCTGCCCCACCCCCTGCGGCTGGAGCTGCTGCTGCAGCGAACTTCGACGGGTCCTTGAGGTACTCCTTGGCCTGCGCGTAACATGCACTTTCAGAAACAAGGCACTAAAACATCCCAGAAGCTATGCACCTTCACTGACACCATAAGAAAAGCCATCAGCATAGGTGCAGTTTGAATACTGCTAACACAAAAACTATGCCATTACCAGGTTCGAGATTATGCCAAGTTTGCTTCTGTAGTACATGCTAATCACCCAAAAGAATTTGTTCCAGGTGAATTTCCTTGCCTAATTCTTGCCTCAACAAAGAATTCTAAGCGTGAACACTGCGTTCAGTGCATGAGACCAACCAGTTAATGCCATGCATAGGACCTAGCTACGGTCACTCAAAAATTCACCGCAGCTGGCGACGGAAAGCAACTCTGACATGAAACTGACCATTTCAGCCTCCTTGAATGTAAACAGTTTTTAGATACAGTTTACTTTAATACTATTTAGATACCAACTGCACAGCAGCAAATAGCTTAATGCAGTATCAAAAATAGATACGGTGAAATGCGACGAAAACGCTACACAGATGCATACCTGCAGGATCTTCAGACCATATGAGAAGGGCGAGATGTTCAACATGTTTAGAAGCGTAGCCTCGGAAGCACCGACACGGTCATCCTTCTTGATCAAATGGATCTCATTGAGAATTTCAATAGTACCCTTTGAGATCTTGGTGGGAATCTGCAGGGCCTGGAAGAAAGAGGTCTTCTCGGGGCCGAGGCCAGTGTTCTGAGCCGGGATCATGACATCCAGGGGGGCGAGGGCACCAGCACGGGCAGGCGCCTTCACCTTGTTGTCGATGATTTTCTCGCGCACCTCAGTCAGGTCTTCCTTGGTGAAGACGAAACCGACGTTGCCCTTGATGTGCGGCAACAGCTTCTCCAGGGCCGGGTTGTTGTCCAGGTGTCCGCGGATGGCCTTGCGGATCATGGTGTTCTTGCCCATGAGCAGGACGGCGTGCTTGCGGAGCGAAACACGGATCGTCTGCATCTGCTTCGAGCCGACATTGTCTACACCCACGATGAAGCACTTGGGGTACTCGTCGAGCAGCTGCACCAGTCGCAGGAAGTAGTTGCTCTTCCAGGTCGTCTTATCCTCCCTGACCATCTTGACAGTGAGCCAAGGATTTCTCTTACGAGTTTAAGGACTGGAAAGAGAAATAAATGCAGTGGTTACGGGCATGCTTCGGACACGTGAATGGATCCCTTCGACTGAAACTAGGGCAAGAACTCGTGCCAGCCGCTGAGTTGTTGAAAACGCAGGGATTTAACGTTCCTTAACTCCGCCGTGGGTAACGAGAGCTTCGCACAGGTTTATAATGAAGAACAACGGCCCTTTTGATAGCGATCGAAACCCGAACGTGGTGCCATTCGTCGACCACGAATTTCTCCGAGCGTGAATATCCAACCACGATCAAAAAACGCGTAGCTGACCAAAACTGCATTATGAAATACCAGCGCCACACTGGCACTTCCGAGCGAGATGGGCTCCTTTTCGCGGATTGTGCAGATGAGTAATTCGCGGGCGGAACATTTGCAATCGTACTTGAAAACTGTGACGTGGCAGCTGTATTACATAAGCGACTATTCGAAGTATATGGGCTCGCTATGCGCGAGGTGCCGACAGAAGGCATCCTTTCATGTGGCACATGCGGTATGCGGACTGTCCTGTCGCACGGATTGCTTGAGCACGTCCCATATCGTTAATTAAACGCACACGTTCTTCGTAACAAGAGAATTCGACTGCGTCCTTAACAAACACACATACATACCCAAGCACCAGGTAACGATGCAGCGATAACTTCTTAGAACTATACAGCTGCGTCACCCGCGCGCGAGCACACACGTCTTTAAATGTGAAAATTTAACGTACATTTTTTTTTTTTTTGAAAACGCATAAACCTCATCCGGATAAGATTTTCTTTTTAAGACAAGCGTAACGGATAGACTGATCTAGTTGGAGGCTATCCGCTCAGCCGGCAAGCATCACGCGTCAGCCTTAACACTTAAATATTTATTTTAGCCTTCATGACCATTTGTATAATGGTTAGAAAGGAAGCACCGATAGTTCTAGTTTCTGCACTTGCAAGATCCAGCAACGACAATTCATGCAACACTCGATTAACTTAGATTTCAAGGAGCGAAATTTCTTACCGTATCAAGACGACAAACTTTCGTATGAAAGGAAGTTGGAGAACGGAAGTGGCCGAACACTAGCTGAAAACTTCTAAACTGGCTACGACTCCGTCCGGATATCAGCACGGCTACACTACTTTAGTTTCGGTTTTGTCAGAGTGGTTTTTACGGAGAGAAAGCACGTAATTTTGCATAGCTGTTGCCTTATATTATCACACATCGCCCTCGTTGCACCCTAAATAAATGTCGTTGCAGGATATTTTTACATGTATAAGCAATGTAGATAATATCAGCATGGCGACAGCCTGTGCAGTTGATTGTCGGCAGCACGCCAGAGAACACGCGTGCAACGCATTAAAATTTCGTCGAAGTCCTCATTATTCGACCCATTAACTTGGAAGGGAGCTCAAGAAGCGTGTGACGAGTTATCGTCATGTTTGAAACGCGCAAGCTAACCTCAAGAAGAGTGTAGTGACTGGCTTTTGCTGTGTTACTATCATGGAAAGTGACGACCACCGCTGGGTTTCGAATGATGCTTTTATTTACAAACTATTCGTTTACCAACTGTTGTGTCGCGTGTGAATAATCTAGAATTTTTTTCATTTACACCTTAAAAACATTTCAAAGTATTTACTTTGTTAGAAATAATGAATTAAAGTTACCTGCGTCCTGGAGGTACTGGCTTTTTGCTGTGTTACTATCATGGAAAGTGACGACCACCGCTGGGTTTCGAATGATGCTTTTATTTACAAACTATTCGTTTACCAACTGTTGTGTCGCGTGTGAATAATCTAGAATTTTTTTTCATTTACACCTTAAAAACATTTCAAAGTATTTACTTTGTTAGAAATAATGAATTAAAGTTACCTGCGTCCTGGAGGTATGCCCACTATGCAAAGGGTCATTTTCTAAATAGCTATATGTAAAACACACACACACACAGAACTGGAAGCGTAGATACCACTCTTGTTACCAGCGTGGATTGTACGTCAATGTTTTCATAAATCGTGAACAGTTCAGCAATGCTCCAATGACCCTTTACTGTAATATTTGCTTTCAACGGTGTCTGGAGCCAAAAATAAGTTTGACTCCATTGTTACATTCTTCTTTTACGTGAACCAAACTGTGTCAATAGATTTTAGGGGCGAAGCTTCTCTTAGTCTAACCTTGTCACTGGCCACGCGTAACCAAGAGAAGGAGGCAATGGAAGTAGATGACCATTTCACGTCTCATTTTCTAGATGGCGTAATTAACTATGTCGCTACTCTTAGGGAGCATTCATGTGCGCGCGTCTCCGGAGACGCGCACATATGAAGGCTACTCTGCGATTGGCTGCTTCGCGTGCTTTGCGTGAATGCGCGGAGAACGAGCGCCTCTTTCAGTCTCCTGGATAGTTGACTCGCTGTCTGCATTTCGTGCCGACCGGTTGTGCCCCCACGATCTCCGATGACAGCGCAGCTCTGGCCGACTGGGCCCGCCCTACGCCATCTCCTGATGCCGACAAGAGCTCTCGCCGAGTAGTGCCCCGTCCTCGGACTCCTGCGACCGTGTCCATCTTTCCTATTCTCTCCTTACTTCCTGTGTCGCTGTCCCTGCGCCTCGCTCTCTATATCTCAATACCGTTCTATCCTATCCTTTTAATCCCTTCTTACCTACACCCCTCGTGAGCAACTGTTGAGGTGTCCTCCCCCTGAGAGACCGTTACGGGGCTCACTTTTCTCTTCATTTAAAATCACCCCCCCCCCCCCCCCCCCCCCCCGGGATAGTCACCGTACGTGGCGGATCATTTGTGGGGCATGGACGAAGCAGAGCGGCGGGCGCGTTGAAGACGCTTGCGCTCGGTTTCCTTAGCTCGCGACTTGTCGGTGTTACCCGCGCGCCGTCTGCATTCTCAAATGAGATCGGACGCACGCACGGACGGACGGACGCTTTGCCTCACTCAACATCATTCACTCTGTGGATGAGCTGTGATTTCTCAAAAAATATCTCAAGCATTTTTATTTTCCTCAATTTCACAGTCATTGATATCCCGATCGTAGGCTCAATATTAAAAAAGAAAATCAAATTCAAAGTTTATATTATCGTATTCTGCACTGAAGCCTTGATGCTGGTATGCCCTTTGCTATAAGAAACAGTGCTTGGTATGCCAGTGTGGCACTAGAAACTAGCTTTTTTTTTTTTCTCCTTGTCTGGCTGGATTAATTCTGAGTGACCTTACCATGCCAAGCATTAGGCTCCTGTATGTGGAACACAGGACACTTTTATCAATAAATGGTTACGTGGGCTTTCATGGATAGTGTCTGAATTTATGTCTTCATTGGGCCATGTGTAACGTAAGCAAGTGCTGCACAAACTTTAAGGTGGCATCACTGACTAGCTTTTTTTTTTCTTCTTTTTTAACTTCCAAACATCTTGCCATGTTTTTGGTATAACAGTATTGCAAAAAAGTAATTCAATTACTTTTTTAAATGGCATCATTCTCATAAAGATTGACACCAGCATTTTGTGCTACGATTTGAACTAGCAGAACACTATACACCAACAAAAATTTATTATGAAAAGTTGATTTCATGACACTGGTAATGACCAAAGCTAGCAATATATTATACAGTTAGACATCAAGAAGTGATCATATCACAATGAGCATTCATGCCACAGTAACTCTTGAAAACGTTGGCTCACTGGCAAGCATATAAACCAGAATTTTAGCATATTGAATATTCTACTGCAATGAGTACTGATTACAAATTGAAATGCTTCTTCAGTGCAAGAGTAAAAATCCAACACCGACAAATGCTGCAATAAGGTGTCACAGCTACACACCAATTATGAAAGGAAGAAGTATACAAGTTCATTAAAAGCAAAATAAACTGTGAATAATAAAACCACAGTCAGGATCATTGGCACAAATTTTAAAACTCCCCATAGCACAACCTTGCAAATTGCTTTAATTATTCCTACCGGCCCCGCCTATTTACAGGTGGACACCACATGTTCCCAAACCGATCGGGTAGTTCTCTATGCTGGCTATCCCAAGTCCAAGGTTCGTCATCTTTTGTGTACGGGGCCAAAGGCACATCGTACGGAAGAGGCAAAAACAGAGCACCATTTCCGCCTGCCTCGTCGGAGACAACAAAGGTAGTCGCCTGCCCAAAGTTCCCAGGAAAGAGGAGCACTCCAAGTTCGTACGAACGTATCATCAGCTGGCTTCCATTTTTCTCCAGAGCACCCCAAGCAGCCTTCGAAAGGTTGGCACTCGTGACGAGCAACCAGGCAATCTGCTTGCCGCTGGGTGAAAGTCGGGTGTACGTTTTGATGTGGGGAGATGCAGCAGTGCGGCCCAATCGTTCACTCTTCCACCGATGGAAGAAGGAGTCCAGCCATCGCTGTTTGTCTGCCGTGACTATGCTGTAAGGGATAGAGGCACCGGCAGGGTAGCCTTCAAGGCTACAGCGAACATCATCCACCGAAGGGAACACGAGCTTCAGAGGCACTGACCGTGCTGTCACTACAGAACCCTTTGTTGTTGAGAGGCTGGAGAGGAACTCGCCCAACAGCCAACTCTCTGCACTAGCACCCAGAGAACCAATACTGGAGAACTGGGCAACAAGAGGCCAATGGTTAGACACCAGGTCCTTGCTAGGTCCATGTTGACTGAGCAGGTTTCGGAGTCTCAAGTGGCCGAAACATGACTTCCTCGTCCCTGTGTGTCTTCCCGGCACTGAACTGCAATTTGAAGCAGAGAAGAATGAGCAAATGGTGACAGCTGTTGGTTATATAGAAGTATAGTATAACATTGAAAATCACATACTAAGGCTATAAAGAGGGACAAACAGAGCACATAACTTGAATTGCCTATCTGTCCTGTTTTTTGTCAAATCCTTAATATACCTTTACACTTGTTACAAAATGGATTAGCCTTGTGCACTACTTTTCAATCAAATGTCAGAAATCAACTGAAGAAATTTCTAGAATATTCTATCATTCCACAGTTAGGCTTTCTCATGGAGTAAACAAATGATCCACTTGAATCTAACTCACCAAATTGCAAGTTTATCTTTTGCTGTTACAAATTTTATGGCCAGTAAATCAAGAAATTATACAATAATTTGATTGATACTCATTAATCTATTATATACAAGGCATAAGGATGCCACATACTGTTGGATGATTGTTACCAAAGGAAGTCCCCATGGTAATATACAGTAGCTTTTCTTTTAATAGCATGCTGTCTCTGACCCTACAACTAATTGATTGATATGTGGGGTTTACAGTCCCAAAACCACCATATGATTATGAGAGACACCGTAGTGGAGGGCTCCGGAAATTTCGACCACCTGGGGTTCTTTAACGTGCACCCAAATCTCAGCACACGGGCTTACAACATTTCCGCCTCCATCGTAAATGCAGCCGCGATTTGAACCCGCAACCTGCGTGTCAGCAGAGTACCTTAGCCACTAGACCACCGCGGCAGGACATCCCTACAACTAAATTGTCAAAAACTATTATGTACAGCCTACTTTTACTATAAAATAGTTGCTTGTCTACTTTGCTTTGGCATCCATTGATGAATGAATTTGCTGAAACAGATTTATGGTAAGAAACTATCTAACGTAAATTGCAACAGTTATCAAACTTTTATGTGACTTTATTGAATGGATGCCTCGGTTATAATTTCTGCATAACATGTAGTGATAAGTGCCATGCAAGCACATTATTCCTCGAGTTGAGGCAGTCATGTAATGCTCTCGTGGAGTAATGAAAATAGAAGCATTAATAGAGAGTTTTTGAATAGGGGACCCAAAAGATTGGAGCCTTAAAGCCCTTTGCATGTACTTTCTTTGGGTAAAGCAGGAGCTAAGCGTTTTTAATAGTTTCTGCGGCACTTTGGTCACTCCCTCTATTCTAGGTCGCTTTAGTCTAGGCCGAGGGCCAATGCTTGAGTGAGTGCTCTCATGTTTGTTTGATGCAAAGCTTTTGTAGCAGGCTTTGGGGCTCCCACTGAATTTGAGAAACAGCATTCCCGATTTAAAACCCAAACCCTGTTTGGCTCGCCTGCATGCCTAGTGGCATCAAGAATACTTAGTTGGGACGCCTATTCGAAGACTCCCAAATAATAAAATAGGTCATGACAGTGCAAGAGTTCTAAACTGCACTGCAGGCAGTGCTGTGAACAATAGTAAAATGCTGATCTCTGACGCGAGTAGTTTCTTTTCCCCCCAAGCAATATTTTCACATATGCACATGGGGTATCGAAACAGCAAACTATGAATAACGGAACACACCCGACTAGGAAAACCTTGACTGCAGAGAAATCATGCGTGCGAATATAATGGCACCACTCATTTATGTGGGTGTCACCGTAGGCCGACAGGTAGTTGAGAAGGTCTGTTCTGAACCCAGTTTCAGAGTCACCACCGCTCGAACCTGGCGCGAGGCGCGGACAAACAGGCCCAACCCAGATGGCCTGAGTTTTCTGAGCCCAGTCGGTCGGGACCATGTTGGCCGTGTGTATGACGACGCGCAGCCCTTCTTTGTACAAAAGTAGCATCATTTTGGTGTGGTGCGTGCCGTACACGATTTCCAGCTTAGCCTGAGCGAAGGAAACGTGCTGGAATCCAGATGCCGATGCTTCGAGAGCTTTTTTTGCCTCCCGCTGTTCTCCGTGAACCACGAGTAAGGGCAGCTTTTGGAAGTCGGCCGGGTACTGTTCGACGAGCCAGGGAATGTCGAAGCAGTAATTGAACTGCGCAGAGCGCATCAGGCGACCCATGTCGGGTGAGAGAAGGTCCCGTACGGAGCGTGCGATTTGCGCAGCATTGTAGCGGGCCGGAATACCCGTGACGGTGGTGTAGTAGAGGCTCAGCAAAGCGCCGTTGTAGCATGAAGGCTTCGGATTTTTCGCCACGTCATGACGAAACTCCCGTCTGTGCTCTGGATTCTTGCGATAGCAGCTGGGTCCGTACTTGCACACCGGCCGATCGTCCGAAGCGGCTGCTTCTACAGTTTTCTTGGCCTCGCGCACAATATTATGGTCTCCTCGGACCGGTTGCCTGTTAGGCTTCGAAGCTTGTTTTTTGTCAACCGTGAGTTTTTTCGAGCTGGGTGATGTGCCGGGCTTGCGCGGTGTAGTTGACACCGGTTTCTTGGGCGCGGGCTTCGGGACTGCGGGCTTGCACGGCACCTCTTCGCAGTCGGTATCACTGCCGCTGGAGTCCGATATCACGTGTATCTTAACCGGTCGTTCGCTGACTTTTTGTCGCTTTCGAGGAACGTCGCAGCGAGTAGTATCTCGGCCATCTTGTCGACGGTTTTTAGAAACCAACGACTCCAACTCATCAGAGTCGATAGTGGCATCGGAGTCGTCCATGCTGCCAGCAACTTAATAGTCAGGCAGGCAGATTTACTTTTCTACCAACGCTGATCGACGATTAACGTATTTGGTAACACGTACAGGTGACATCAAGGTAAATGAGACGCGTAAATACTTTAAATTCACATAACACCATACCAGAGAAGACCATACGAAAACCTACGCCACGCGTTGACCACTGCTACTGCGTTGCGACTACCGCGTGTTCATGGAGCACGGATGAAGCGTACTGAGAGGAAGAAACGCATCATTTTTCAAATCAAAACACCATAATTAAAAAAACAACAACAACAGTACGTATATTTTCGCCGAACACCAGAGAAAGCGCGCAGAGCTCGTGTCGCGTGTGCAATAAATATCTATCGCCAGGTGCCGACGCTGTCGGGCGGTCTGCTACTACTCTTGTCCGCATCTGCGATTCTCAGAAACCGTCCTCTGAATGCGTGACGCAACTTTTTCCTCTGCGTCACTGATCTGCAAGTGACGTCTCGCTGAAAGCGAAAGAGGCGCAATCACAGTGACATTGCTGGCATTGTCTCACCATTGTCGCACAGCGGACTTTTGTAAATCGGACTACGTTCTACAGTGCGCAACGCACTACATGGTGAGTACTTGATCGAGGCATTTTTACCCACGGCGTGTACGACGGTTTCGTCTGCTACGACGGAAGTGTTGCATGCAGCGCAGTAGCTCTTTGTTGTTGCAGTGTTAGCAATAGCGTACACGCAGCGAAAGTCCCGTGGAGGCGTTTGCGCGATGTTTGCAGGCCGTAATTGAAATTATTTTCTAAAGTCCAGTTCGTGCATCTAATTTAGACAGGTAATTTGCTTATATGTACAGCATCTACAAATACCGGTGTTCATGATCTGATTACAATTGTCGTTGTACTGGAATTTTATAGTAATGTACATTTATTCAGGAAAATAATGGGTACGCGCGCTTTATGTACAACATTCTACATGATATAGCTGCAGCTCATGACGCCGGCTGGCTTAGTTAATGCTTCCGATCACATCTCACTCGATCTTCACGCAGGGATGAGGTCATAGGTTTGTTTTCAAGTCTTCGAATATACGTCAAGAACGAATCAGCTGATCGCGAAACTGGTTTGTCAAGCTGGTAACAAACGACTTGCACGTATACGCTGGTGACTGAATCAGTTACAGATGATAATCAACTGAAACTTCGGCCTCACCTAACGCGAAATTCAAACAGGTACCGTATTTCAAATTAATTTTAAACGCGCACATCCGTCCCCCAGCAACTCGGTAGAAAGTCGCATGCGCTCCGTCACGTGACCAGTCAGGTTTCTGACCTCACACTAGTCTCGGATGAAACGCGAATCGGCGCGAGCTCTCCCAGGAATTCTGGGAGAGCTGCGCTGGCCATGACCTACTACACTCCTGACCTGCCCAGAGAGCACCTCTTCCAGCGCCCACGTTCTAGTTCATACCTTCTGCCGCTAGGGCCGTCACCTACGAGCACTGTGGCGCTAGTCAGCACCTGTTCGCTGACGTCAGCTTCAGTGTTCGTGGTCATATTTCGGCCAACAGAGCACTCATATTGCGTAATTATTATGCACTAATGAAAAATAATTTTGAAACAAATATTTCAAAAGTCATTCACAAATTCTTTGCAATTAAATGGACGCAACATCACATATGCTGTCCTACACTATGTAAGTCTACGGATTCTCGCATTTGTCCACCAGTGTGCAATAAATTTTTCGTCACACTGAACAGCTTACTTGACCAGTCATCTAAGTGAAAAAATAGTCACATATATGCCGGCTGTTCATCACGGAATGCAGCCGTTCTTACTCTAGCGCCGTCCAAACAGCCGTAAAGTAGCAGACGAACAGGTTATAGGTAGCGCCACCTACGGCGAGCGATTGAACGAGAGCGGGGACACGCGCTCCCATAGGAACCCCGCTATCTGAACAGGTCAGGAGTGTAGTAGGTCATGGCGCTGGCTGCGTGCACAACGCAGTCTGGAACAAAGCGTCGAGCAGGGTGAGTGTACCTCCTCCATAGGGGCGCCCCAGCCTTTTCCTTCTCTGTAGGTTTCGTTTGTTGCGTATGTGTCTAACCCTGAAGTTGTTGAAGCCTGTGCATGGATGCCTTTCACGGAATAAAATACAGTTGCAGCGAATGATTCGCCATTGCTCCTAATTTTTTTTTTGCATCGAGGTGAGCGGCGTTTGATCAAGTCGGTCGCCCAGGCCTCGTTGTTCGCTGCAGTTAGTCCTAACCACAGCCATATTGGCCACCCAGACTTCGCATCAGGGTCGCTAGTTTTTTATATTTTTTCCAGCGATCGAGTAAACGGCATGTTAGTTACTCGTATCGTAATTAATTTTTTTACGGATGCGTGAGGAATTTCTTGGTTTGCTTCGTTTGATCCTGGGCGTTGCATCTTCGGCGTAGGTGTAATCGGCGCAGTTTAAATTTTCTTTTCCTTCCAGCAAAGCTCGTTCTCAGTGGTGGTTAGGCCTTCTTCGCAACTTCTAGTGTGATGATTCAAATAAGAAATCTGTACAGAGCGAACTTTTCGACACGGAACAGTGATTACCCCAATGAAAATGTAGCGTGCGCCGCCTCGGTCAAGCACGACGCTAACAGCGTTGATTTGGCTGTGGACCCCCTTCTCTTTGTTTTCTTTGTTTCGCGAACCGTGTGGTTCGAGCGATTCATTTATTTTCGCTTTGAACTTCGTTCGAAGCAGTAGGATGACCAGTGAGCTGGCAATGGAATCTGCATTTCCGGGCTAGCGGGAGAGGGCGAGTGGGTAGCTTCTCTCTTGCCCCCTCCTTTCCTATCTTTGGGACTTTGCTCCAAGGCACGACGCTAGCGTTCAAGGGAGGGCACGCAGGGGGTCACGTTCAAGTCGTGGGGCCACAGAGGGGAAGGGGGTTGGGGTAATACACGTTGCGAACTGTTTCCTGTTCGTCGCCAACTCGTTCTCTGTCGGTTCGAGTGCAGAGTGTGTCCCGTTCTTCACACTTTTTTTTTTAAAGTTTTCCGGCTTTCTCAACAATGCGGCGAGAAAAATTGAAGCGCATGTCCCATTTGCTACGTATGCGGACGCCATTCATTCTCCAACCTCTTGAGCAGGAGGAGGGAAGCTAACCTGATTTTTTTTTGTTCGTCTTGCTCGTCTTAACCTTCCTTTCTCTTTTTTTTTCTTTTAACCCTGCGCGAATTCACTGCACTGCGAGGCACGCGAAACGGGGCTTACGGACGCTCGCTTAGCCACGCATTCGTCTCGCGTGCTTGCATGGAGTTCCTTCTTTGAACGGTTCTGTTGCATCGCTTCCCGCAAAAGCGCAACGTTGTCTCTCCGCGTTGCAGTCTACGGAAACTTTCTCGCGAGTCCTAAACTCCCGAGCCACAGTTTGCCTTGCAGGCGATCTTGGGTGCATGGTTCTGCCGTCGTTTAGCAAACTGCAGCCGTCCACAAACATCACAGTAAGGTGTTTTAGACTTCACTGCGGCCCCATCTGATTAGTAGTAAAAGAGCCTTTTTTTTTTCCCCCAAGGAACGCTGTCCAGGTGGTTTAGTTGGCGGCTGTGCCAGATTGCGTAGTCGCCGACCTTGCTTTGAGGAATCGGAAGCGAGCGGCGCGACTGCGGCATCAGACGGCGTGCTTGGCGAGGTTAGTCGAAAGTGCACGTGTCCTTGGGCAAGGCGGCCTTGCAGATTAGGGTGATGGCTATATCAGCCTTGTCCGCTGTGCCTCCTTCGCGATGCTTTCAAGTTCATTACGGCCGGCTCCCACCGCCACCCGATGTTATTTTTGTTTCTATGATGGCGAGGGCTGGTGGGGGGGGGGGGGGGGAGAGAATACCCGTGCCGAGTCGATAGCAACGATGGGGGCTTGTAGGGTGTGGGAGAGGGATGCCAGGCACAGTTTTCGCGGCGCGGCAGCCAGGAATGGTGTCATTGTGGCCATTGCTTAGGTACCGTTTGCCCGAACTCCCTTTCCCACCTAACGCCGTAGACTTTTGTCGCTCGCGGTTGCTATGCGATCCGAAAAGACAAGGGTCAATGTAACTTACAACTTGTTGCTGGGCTAGTTGATACATAACATTAACGAAGAATTTTGACAGCTAGGCATCACCAGGACAAAGAGGTGCAAGAGAAGAGCGTCAAGAAAAGAAACTTTTTTTGTGTCTTTCCCAAATTTTTCCTCCAAGCACCCGGTGGGCGCGTTCGATCCTTTGGCAGGAACCTGTGTATGTCTTGGCAAGTGCTGTTTGTGTAGTTGGGTGTGTTTGTTATTGATCCAGGTTCAAAGGCCCTGCGAGCAGGAGCCCCAAAAGACCAGGCGAGCGGCGGCAAGGCGGTTTAGTGTGGCGCGGGCGTCCCCACCAGACGCAACAACGGAAGGGCCGCGAGGAGCGGGGGGCTCTTCATCTCCGTGCAACAGGGACGGCACAGTAGCAGCGGCAGCGACTGTCTCCTCCCCGTGCGTGCACCGATGGGTTCCCCCAAGCGTTGTTCGGCGAGATGCCCCCCTCAACTCAGCCGACAAGAATGACCTCGTCTTCCGCAAGGTGCGCGGCATTCTCAACAAGCTCACGCCGGAAAAGTTCCACAAGCTCCGCAAGGAGCTGCTGCTCGTGGGCCTCGACTCAACGCACATCCTCAAGGGCGTCATCCTGCTGATCTTCGACAAAGCTTTGGATGAGCCGAAGTACAGTTGCATGTACGCATCCCTTTGCCGGGAACTGTGCGACGAGTCACCAAATTTCGAGCCGCCCCCGAGCAGCAGCAGCAGCAGTCAGACCACAACCTTCCGCCGCCTTCTGCTGACCAAGTGCCAGGACGAGTTTGAGAACCGGCGGCGTGCCAACGAGGCCTTTGAACGCAGAAATGGGCCCCTCACGCCCGACGAGCAGGAGCAGCGCCTGGTGGCCAAGCACAAGATGCTCGGCAACATCAAGTTTATCGGCGAGCTGGGCAAGCAGGGCCTGCTGCAGGAGTCCATCCTGCACCAGTGCGTGCAACAGCTGCTGGTCGCCTCTGCACGCGTGCAGAGCGGTGGCGACTGGCAGGACCTGGAGTGCCTCTGCCAGGTATGCATGCACACAAATACCCGATGAAGTGGAAGATAAGACGACTGCTGCCGTAGCGCGATGGTTAGAGCAGCGTGTGCACTTATTCAAAGAATGCATGTTTTGTTCATGTAGGCGGCAAAGTTGTCTTTTCGTGCACTTTTACTTTCTTTGAATTTACTAGCAATTACTGCGATATATTTAACACAATCTGC